ATCAGGAGAACAAGGCCAGTCTTGGCTACTGTGACCCTGTCACAAACAAACAAACAAACAAATAGACTCGATAAGCTAGATTTCAAAAAATAATTTTAACTAGTGTGAAGGATAATATTAATCCTGTCAATTTCACAGGACCTGGAAGATAAACATCTGGATATGTGTATGAGGGAATGTCTAGATTGGGCTAATTGAGGTGGGAAGACACTCCCCCAAAGTGTGGGTGGTACCATTTGACAGGCTAGGGTCCAGTAATGAATAGACTCGATAAGCTAGATTTCAAAAAATAATTTTAACTAGTGTGAAGGATAATATTAATCCTGTCAATTTCACAGGACCTGGAAGATAAACATCTGGATATGTGTATGAGGGAATGTCTAGATTGGGCTAATTGAGGTGGGAAGACACTCCCCCAAAGTGTGGGTGGTACCATTTGACAGGCTAGGGTCCAGTAATGAATAGAAGATAATAATAATTAATAAAAAACCCAGAAAGCGAGATGAGCATCAACATCCCTCTCTGTCTGCTTCCTGACTGTGTATGCATTGTGATCCACTGCTTCAATATTCTGCTGCTATGACTTCTCCAGCTCTCAAACTGTGAATCAAAATAATCCCTTCTTTCTATAAATTGGTTTTGTTAGGTGGTTTATCACAGAAACAAGAAAATTAACTAATATAATTGGATACAATATTTGACATTAAAAATTCTAAATTTCATAAGCCATTAAAAACATAAAAAAGCACTTAAGATGTGTTTTAAATGAATTGACATTCTAACAGATCTGTTCTAAACTTCTGTATTTTTAAATTAAGTAAGGAGTTTCTTGTTACAAATTGCAGAGTGAGGAGCCCCACAGTGTAAAAAGTGTGGAAATAAAAACTTGAAGATTGAAAATGTACATTATATTCTTTTACACCTAAGAGGATGCATTTAACCAGAATATATTAGTATATTCCCTGATATAACTGTAATAATTAACTTTTCAAATTTGAATTTAATTTTCCATCTGATTCTAGTAAAATGTCTTTCACAATTTCAGGTTATGATTCTCTCCCGTGTTATGCCACGTTGCTGCAATTCTGTGCCACCCATAAATGTGCAGGATACATCAAAAATCAATCCTTGCTTTGTATCCAGTAACATATATTCTACTTCTGAAAGGGTTCTTCTTAGTTGGTTAAACACCAATTATGAGAGTAATCGACATATTGTATGGAAAAAAAGTGAAAGAGGTGAGAATATTTTTCTTTAAAGAATTATTGTAAGTCGTATTATGACAATTATTGTAAAAGGAGCCATGGAACCACACTCATGCATTCTAGACTACTTCCGTAATTTCTTTCATGTTTCCTTAAAATGGTACACAATCTTCAACATGAGGATTTGTGTATTTTGGAGAAGAAATGATAAAAATATTTGTAAAGATGCTCTGGAAATGAAAGCTACCCCTGAAATTGTGTAATGTATTAAATTTAGATTGTGTCTTAGATATGACAGTCATGTTGGAAATCAGTATGTGAAATACTGTTTCAGGAATTCTTTAGAGGCTAGCTAATGATAAGCCCTTACAGTGACATATATGTTTCCCAGTAGACAAACTCCATTAATTTATATTTGAAGTCCCTTTATCACATTTTGAAAAGGTCTAATTGCTAATATAACTATATGTTTTTTCTTAGTCCTAAGCATTGACTGTTTTGACTACTGTTTGTATGGACATTGTGTCTTGAGTTTTAATTTAGCTCTCCTTCAAGCACTTGGAAATCTGTTGTGCTCAAAGTAGACTTCATTTTAACATGTAATTATCTTTATTCCTTTAAAAATATTTTATTTATTACTATTTTATGTGTATGAGTGCATTGCCTGCATGTATGTAATTGTATCCATGTTGTGCAATGCCTGAGGAGGTCAGAAGAGGGCATCAAATTCCCCTGGAACTGGAGGTATGGACAGATTTTAGCCATCAGGTGAGTGCTGGGAACCAAACCTAGGTCCTCTGCAAGAGCGGTCAGTGCTCTTAACAACTAAGCCATCTCTCCAGGCCCCATGTAATTACATTTATAATTCATCCTCATAGTTCAATCCAAGCCTTAGAACTATGGGGAAGATTAAGAGTTTGGTGTCAAGGGCGATTTGAATTACACTGGCTCTTAACTTGAAGGTGTTCCTATTTTTTCTCTCTCTAAAGCAGCATATATGAGTCACTCTATTTCTTCCTTCATCTTTCTTTGAATTTCAACATTACTTTTCTAACATAACATGTATGTATTTGTTTCTCTGCCTTCTCCTGTAGAATGTGGGATTCCTCAATGGAACAATTATATTTGTTAGCTGATATATCTCCAGAGCCTAAAATACATTAGATAACTACTCTCTTAGTGTTATACTGATACAATAAAATATCTGAGACTGCAGATTATTTTTTTAAAGAGAAATTTGTTTCTCATATTTCAGGAAGCTTGGAAGTAGTATATCAGAATACCATCAGCTTCTGTGTCTCATTAGGGTTATGCTATGTTTCCAAAGTGCCAACTTGATGCCGGATCCTTCACGAAGTAATATTTTTTCTAACGGCAGAAAGGGGAAGAGCAAATATTAACAATCCCATCCACTTAGTTGTATTACTCAGTTCATGTAGGCAGAATCCTCAGAACCTAAACTTCTCCCAAAGTCTGTTCTTCTTACACTTGGTATTTGAGATTATATTTCTGACACATGGATTTTGAAAAACATGTACTAATCATAATCCTCAATAAATATTTGTGCTATCAATAAGTGGATGAAGGAGTGAATGAAATACAAAAGTTTTATACATTTTTAACTTTGCTTTGCCTGGAAGGATGTATTTTAGCTTTCTTGTTTACACTTTGTATTACAAATGTAGAAGTCAGGTTCAGTAGTTGGTGTAGAAAAAAAAGGGATACTTTCAATCTGTAGAATGTATTTCGATATGAGCTTTCCTGGATATTAAGTTCATAAATTTTTGCAGAAAAACTATTTTGGAAGTACAAGTTATTTCTTCATTTCTTGCATTTTTAGTGATTCTTGTTTTTAATCTGTTAAAACCTCCCATATATGAGAACCTATGTATGAGCCCACAGAGTGTAGTGTAATAAAACAGGTTCTCCATATGATTATGCGAAAAGAGTTAGAAAACAGAGATTGAACCACTTACCTGGAGTATAATGTGAAAAACAAAAATGAATGTTAAGTATAAAATGAAGATGATAAAATTCAAGAAATTTCCTAAGATGGATATGTAAGATTAATGGAAATCATTTAAGCAAGAATAATCAGTATAAGTAAAGATCCAGAGGTGAGCAGGCTTTGGACCTGTTTCAAGTGAGCCAAGATTAGAAATAGGTAAACATCAGTTTGCAAATATGAGAAGAGGAGACATGAAAGATCATTTAGACCTCGAGATAGAAATTACAGAAGTTTTAACTAATTTAGGAAAGAATAGGATTGCAGTCACAATTACAGCTAACAATCTACCATCAATAAGAAGCAGTTGGATAGGGTTTCTTATGAGAACTTCAACAGTATCGAATATGTGGGCATACATAAATGTTATGTTTATGGGGGCCCCAGGCATGAATAGAAAATCAAGAGATAATGTGCACACAATTGTAAGGCCTGGTCTGTAGGCCTTCACTGTTTACTCGATGCAGAGAATGGAAGAAAGCAAATGATGTAGTCGAAACATCTGATCTAAGTCACTTGGTACCATGAGAGAAGGTGACAATTTGTGGTGAAAATGAAAAGCTTCATTTTATCCATGTATACTTGGAGCTACCAGTAGAAGACTGAGCCTCACAGCAATATTTATATATTACCATCCTGCTTACCAGATAAGGTTGAGCTTGCTAAAATGGGTTAGGGAGTTGTTTGTGCAAAGGCTAAGGGAATTTATAGAATGAGAGAAAAGATTGAAAGCTGGACAGTTGAAGTACGTAATTCTATGAAGAAAGAAAACAGGAAAAGTAGAGTGGCAGACGCAGGAAGGGAGCAGAATGGTAACGTCAGCATAGAATGTGTCAACAAATTCAGACCAAGGAAGATAACTACTAAGAGAGAAGGAAGAGAACTAAAATTGCATTACTTTTATGCTCTTGGATTTGTAAAAAGTAAACTGCATCAGTTGTTAAGAAGACAAAAGGATGTTCTAATTTGGTCAGAGAACCAAAAAAACAGATAAATTTTTTCCAAAGTGCTATGTATTTGTAAAAACAGCAAAGTAAAGGTATAAGTGTTCGAGAATGAGAGAATGAAATCTACAGACTCGAGGGTCACTGTGTTAGGTACTTTTATTGTTGCTATGAAAGCATAGCTGACAGAAATAACATAAGACAGGAGAGATATATTTTGTATCAAAATTTGAGGAAATATGGTCCACCCTGTCAGGGTAAGCATGCCAACTGGTGAGGCTTGATTTTATATCAGCTGGAATACATTTTAATAATGTATAACAGAATGAATGTACCAGTTCTAAAATTCATTAAAACTAAGTGCATTTATTTTTTTCAAAACATTGTTACTGAATTCTGTTTTTAAGCATCATATCCCTAATTTCATAATTTTCTACATTTCATTTTCATTTTAATATACCTACCTATTTGAAACAGGACATTATAAAATGTATAAAGCAGAAATTCAAAGTCAATATTATTTTAAATGTACCTAATATCACGTGAATTGTCTTGTTCCTCACAATTTGTGACTAGATTAAGCTGTTGACGTCCTCTCCAAATGAAAACTCTAAAGCTTCTCAGATGGTAATATGAATGCAAATCACCTGCATGTTCAGTTAAGCTGCTTTTATATTTCAGTGAATGCTTGATGAAGCCTATGATTTTGCATTTTCAATAACCTCCCCTCTGATGCCAGTGCTGCTCAATCAGCTGAGCTCCCTTAAAGAAGTCCCTCATCCTACAGTGATCAGTTGCCAATATTAAGCCACAAATCTCCAACCTCTTCCAAATATTCAACATATGGGAGAATTTCTGTAACAAAATTTCTGCAGTACTATAGTTACAAGTAATTAACATGTCTTTTGAGCCTCCCTAGTCATGCCTGTTGATCATCATTGATCAAATATTTGAACCTCAATGTATTCAAAATTTTAAGTTATAGATGAATGTGGTAGCATAAAGCTGTAATCCCAGTAATAGGGATGTGCAGGCAGAAGGATCAGAAATTCAAAATCATCCTTCTCGACATAGATAAGGGCAGCCTGGATTACATGAGACTCTTTCAAAATAAATAAAAGAGAATCAGTGATTATGAAAAATTGGATTTCTGTTCTGTTTGATAATATATGACAGTGTGTTTTTCAGAGTGCTTCAAGTAGAAATGAGAGACAGATTGGAGATCATTTTAAGCCTTCAACCTATACTTCATAGTGTTTCAGTATTATTTATATTGCTGTGATAAAATACTCTGTGGTAAAAGGGATGAGAAATGAATGTGCACATGCTTGCTTACATTCTGTGCACTGATCAATTTATCGACCCATATACAATTCAGTATTCATAGTCCATGGAATGGGGCTTCCCACTATTGGGTGGGTCATCCCACATCAATTAAATTAATAAAGACAGTCCCCCAGAGACATTCCCATGGTTGAACTCAATGGTAGTCCCTCATTGCAACTCTATTTCCAGGTTATTCTAGGTTGTGTCAGGTTGGCAAAGCTAACCATCATATTAGAATTAATAGAAATAGTATTTTTTAAAGTAGAGGCAAATTTTCTTTGTTGTTCAAACTTCTGTATCTTTCAGTAAGGTAAAATATATATGTATATATTTTTTTCTTTTTCACAATAGATAATATTCCCTCTGAGAGATGGATAGTGAACTTTGACACAGATCTTTTTGATGGCCTTGTTTTTGCTACACAGCTGGCAGCCTATTGCCCATTTTTGGTAAGAGTTACCTCATTGCTGAATAGCTTTCTGTTGTCTGAGAGAAGGTAGAGATTATGATTTGATGTTTATTTCCTATACACTGATTTTTAGATGTCTTAATTGTAAGTCAAAAACATGAATGCTAATATCTAGCATTGCTTTTTCTTATGTATTCTTACTCATTGACTGCAATATTCTATCGCAAAAGCTAATATTGATGCCTCCAATGCTGGCACAAGCCTTTAATCCCTGCCCTCAAGAGGCACTGGCAGGTGAATATCTTTGCATTCTAGTGAATCTTGGCCTCCAGAGTAAGTTCCAGTCCAACTGGAGCTGCAAGTAAGGACTTGTCTACTGGTAACCAGTGACAGCTGGGAGGGAGAGATTTGGTCTCATTTAAGGCTGAGACTGTTAGTAGGTTGAGACTGTTAGTAGGTTGACCATACTCCAGAGATGTACTCACATCGAAGGCCTTTTGGGACAAAAATCTAACTCTATGGGCATATATACATATATACCTATGTATACATATATATATGTGTGTGTGTGTGTGTGTGTGGTGCAGCTTTGTCTAATTATTTTTGGTGAAGGGTGCAGATAAGGGAGGGGATTATAAACAATCAAAATACATAGTATGAAAATTTTAAAACTTATAAAAAAAATCAAAATAACTAATAGCTGAAAATGATGTAATGCAAGCATTCAAGCATTATCCTAGAGGAGAATGGGATGTTATAAAATTAGAAAAAGAAAAAAAAGTTAATCATGCACTACAAAGAACAATTAGAAGTGTCCATTTTGATTCAATTAATAAAGGAAGTTTGTTTTTATTTTTAGATTGAATCTCATTTTATAAATATGTATACACGACCAAAACGTCCTGAACAGTGTTTACACAATTGTTTAATTGTTATAAATAGTCTTCATGAAATAGGCTTTGATCTGAACATACAGGTGGGTGCCATTATGTGATGCTTTTTTTATGTTTTAAGAGTATCTTTTGTTCATTTACTAATTTATAATAACCCTTTCTTTGCAAGTTTTGTATCTGAATTTAAACATATCATGAGTCATTATTAAACTATGGAAATTCAAATATTACTAAGTGAATATTCTGGATATTAAAATAATGTGTAGTTATTTGATGTAAACTATATAAATTAAGTTTTAGATTAAAAAGTGAATACTTTCATTTTATTTTGACATGAAGTTTTTTTAAGAACTGCATATGTAGTGCTATTATGTGTTGACCTACAAATAATAATTCATTTGATATTTCATATCAAATTTTCAGTGACCATAATCAAAAACTTGTTGTGTGCCTAGTATTATATAAGCTCTTTGTTACTTGGGGGTAGTGAAATGATATATAATTTATAACTTAGAGTAATATGTGAGTTCAGTGAATTTTCAAGATATAGATACAACATATATAGTATCCTCATTCCGTTAAATGTTAGTCGAGATAGACATAAGCACAAATGTTCAGAATTCAGATGAAGAAGGAAGTCATGGTGATCAAGTCTATTCCTCCAAACACATTGTATATAAGGTATGACTTTGTTGATTGAATTGTATTTGAATTAGTCATAGTGAGAGATGTAGTTGTTTGTTTGTTTAGAGGGAATGGTATCGGCATTCTGGTGATTATGGGAAGGAAATGTCCATTAAAGAAATTGTTGTCTGAATAGGTCTTCCTCGATGAACATTTATATTACAAACATAGACATAGGCATATATTGGAATATTGGATATAATAGCAAAGTTGAGCTAGGGGTTGACCATATTGTCAGGACGTGTGGGGACCTAAAAGCCCCACCTTGCATAGGTCCGAAAGGAAGTTACTGGGGGTGCAGTCTACTTCCTCACTGCTGAGGAGTGCATGATCAGCGCTTGACCATCCTTAAGATACACACTTAAGTGGGGAGGGGGGAGTTCCATGTGCCTTTATAGCCTTTGGAACACTTGCAATAAATGAGTCTCTGCCTGACTAAGACTCCCCGTTGTGTCTGAGAGTCCCCGGGTAATGGGGGCTGCGTGGGCTGGCGAATGTGCTTACTCATCCCCAATCCTCACCTCGCGGGGGGTCGCTGGTTCGAACCCCCGGCAAGGATGAGCTGAGGGGAGAACTAGACATGAAAGCAGAACAATCAGAATGCCATTTTAATTTATTTAAAAGGATGATTGCTTTTCTATTCATACGTTAGTGGGGAATGAAAGCAGTGTTCTGATGATGGAGAAATTATGTGGTTTCCTAAACTTTCTGACCAGCCAGAGGAAAAGAACCATTATAACGACCTCTGAATTTTCCATTCTTTAATCCAGAATTTGTTGTCTAGTATGAAAGCTTGTGAACACCTTCACATCATGGTATATTAAATTTACCAAGAACAGTGATATCATCTGCTCTAGTTACCAATTGTGAAACTGAGCCCCAGGAACATCCACTTGAGTTAGTCAAGTACTCATGTAGAAGAACAGCTTGAATTTCTTCTCATACATTTTTTTCAGTTATGACTTTAAAAATATTTCTTGTTAATGAATTAGTCAATTTCCCATTGCTATCATGAAACATGAGATAATTAACTTATAAAGAGCAAAGGTTTATTTGGGCCCATGTTTCTGGAGATCACGGTCTAAAATTGAAGGGTGTCATTGTTGTGAGTCTCTGGAAAGGGGAGCGTATCTTGAATGGAATGCATGGTTGAGCATTTTTCCTCATACCTAGGAGATATAAGAAGAGACCAAGGTCCTAAAATGTCTTTAAAGAGCATGACCCCATCCCTTTGACTTAAGATCGCCCGTTTTCAGGAGACTCATGCAGGCATCCATGCCTTTATCAAATGGGGTTTTGGGAGAACAATCGTGGTCTGAACTATGGTTTATTCCCCGATCTTTGATTCACACTCCCACAAAAAACCCTCTACTGTCTTGATTGTAGAAATACAACCAATACAATCAGTAGTCTTTTGGATTGAATTTATCCAAAGTAATGATTATATTTTTAAGGAAATTTCTTATAGAAACTTTTCTCTAAATAAACCTAATTAATTTTATCATATGCCTTTTAAACAGAGTTGACTAACCTATAATGGTTTTATTTCTTTGGAAGTGTCATATAGGTGAGAATGCTCTTCCATTTTGTTTTGAAAAGAAGTATCTCATTACATAATTTGTCAATGATGAAGGATTTAAAATAATTTTCATATTTCTACCTAGAACTTTTAATGTTATTTATACTAAAACACACTTCAAAAGGCATATTTTTCCTCATACCTGAGCCTGGAGTGTGGTTCTATTAATCTTCCTCTTTCCTCTAAGGAATGCATCACCTCTTATACTAGGTAACCTGTTAAGATCAAATCATAGGCTCTTCTAACACACAGCGCCAACCTGAGACATAATCTTCACCTTGAAGTTTACCATTTTATGGTTTGCATGTGAATGTGAGAATTAAACTATCTAATTTTTAGTTAGGTTATTATCTTTGAACCATTTCTCTATATTCCTTGTCTATTACTAGCATTATTAAAATCAAATACTGAAAAATGACAAGAAACTTTGGGATCTTGATTTTTATTCTATGTTTTCTTTCAATTATACACTTGAAAAGCTTTCTATCCTTTTTTGCAGAGGCTATTGCACATAAAACATATCAGATCATATTATAATTTTATTTTGTTTCTATTACCGTATTTCCCAAGTACCTTCAAACCTTCATTGGCAAGCCTTTCTCCTAATTGACAAAATAAGAGCAATCTATTCATCCTTTCTAGAAGGAAATCATTTATGAGGAAACTCAATTATGAGGAGTTATAGACAGAAGGGCTGTTACAGTCCTCTGGAAATCACTGTTAGTTGCTTCTTAATATCTTAGACCGACATTGACTCATGCTGGTTGTATTTCCAGGCTAAAGGTTAAAATGGTCTTCAGTTGTTAAGTTGAGTTTGTGCCCCTGAGTCATAGTGAGATCTTCATTACCATTTCATGGAAGTACAGAGAGGTCCATTTACATTGTCATTAATTATGTTGCTAAATAGGCGTGTCTGCCTCTCACTAAGCCCAATGTTTCCTTGCTATCAATATTTCACACGACTCCATCTTTTTCCTAAGAGAACACAAGTAGAATCCTTTCTTTTCTGCTCCTGATTCTGCCTTTATGCTTCAACTTACATTTTGACTATGTTTATTATCTCTTTTATTGCTCTATAATTCCTGCATTTTTATCTTTACTCAGTCCAGATAGCCATGACTAATTATCTTGTTTATCAGTATAGCTAGATTTTGTAAGTTAGTCATATTTGTTTCTTCTGAATAATGTAATTCTCCAACTACCCTTACCTGGTCTGCCTGAATTGTTGCTTCTTGTCATGTTAGTCCTTCATCACTAATCAAATCCTTCCTCTTGCCATTCAGAACTTCCACAGTGTAACCCCAGAATTCCCATGTTCTACTTTTCCTTTCCTTTTGATAGAATACACTTACTTCATATTACACAAAACATTGCTATGTTTGGTAATTTGTTTACTTGAACATTCCTTTTACTGCATTATTTGTTATGTTAAAGATAGTGTTTTAGCCGTATGAATAATCATTGCTAGAATATGGTATTCTTCTGAACTTTTAGTCACCCTGTATGTGCTCTTTAAGGCAGTGATATCAGCATTTCAATTAATAAACATCCAATTCAACTATTAACATGACAGTTTATTCTCCTACAGAGCAACATTCTTTTATATGTATTTGAATTTTGCTGTCATTTTCCATTGGAAACACTTTTAAATGTTTCCAAGTAACTAAATAATTAGTATACTAAGCAGAGGATCACAGTTTCCCATGGTAATCTCAGCCCCTTCCACTCCCCTTCTTGCTGACTGTATTTAGGAAATATGGCTTTTCACATTGAGAACACTGAGAAAATAAACTGGAGTTCTAATTTGAGAATTCAAAGTACGTACCATTCGTACAAACCGAAGAACACACAATTGTTCAGTGATCCAACTCATGACTTTATAGTTATAAAATGTGGAAAAGAAACTGTAAGTCTCATTTCAGCAATACAGCTGCACAACTCCTTGGATCCTTCCTAAAGAGCAGGCCCTGTGTTCGTCATCAGTATTACAACCATAAACAGCTTGGGCTCAATCATCTACATGGCTCTGTTTGATCAACATTTACTATCAAACCACTGTATTTGTGAAACTTCTTTCTTACCCTCTTATCCTAACATGGATATTTTTCTTTTTTAGTTATGCCAAATTTCTTTTTACATACATCAAATACTATATTGTCTCTGAATGTCTTGTCTTTATATCTTCTGGTATCTGCACATTCTATAATTTATGTTTTTCTTCTTTGAAACCAGGCAATTGACATCTGTGATCCAAATCCAGTATTGATGCTAATGCTTTGTGTCTACATGTATGAAAGGCTCCCTACATACCTCCCCAAGAAAGTGGTGACATTCTCTTGTACTCTGTATGATGCTGTGCTGGGACAGGTAAGGGGATCTTTGGGACCAAACTTACATGAAGTGAAATATTTAAGAGAGTTTTAGATGTTCATTTCCCAACACAAAATTAAAAGCAAATGTTTGTGTGATATAATTACACTAAAACTGAATAAACTTGGGGCTGGAGAGATGGCTCAGCAGTTAAGAGCACTGACTGCTCTTGCAGAAGACCCAGGTTCAATTCCCAGCACCCACATGGTGGCTATTAACCATCCTTAACTCCATTCCAGGGGAATCCGAAGCCCTCTTCTGACCTCCACAGCATTGCACAACACGAGTGCAATCACATACATGCAAGGAATACACTCATACACATAAAATAAAAAAGATAAATACAATATTTTTTTAAAAAACTGAATAAACTTTGTCAAATATTTTTCCTTTTAACAGCATTCTAGGGGAATGAAAGGGTAAATTTTACTGAGTAATAATCATTTGTTGCAAAAATATACTGAGTC